TCCCATCTTTACGAGTTTCATCTCTTTTTATTTTACAAGTTAACTGTGTTTTCTATCTCTTACGTTAAAAAGCCGGGTGGTAAAGCACTAATCACTGTATAACATCAGGCCATCTGCTCACAATGGGAACACTGATAGAGAATTTAAATTAGTATCAACTACCCGTATTTCTTGCCTTCGTAGAATATGAAAAGGCATTTCCTAGTATCAAAATGTGGGCCACAGAAGTTATTAATAATTATAGAATAGATTCAAGACATAGACAACTAATATATAATATATATAAAACTTAAGTATAATAGTACAACTAAATGAAAATACAAGGCGAGGTAATATCTCCAACCTTTTCCTTTAACTTTTCCTTGTAAAATTGCATCAACCCATATCTTTCATTGTTTCTCGTAACGTGACCGTGCTATTAGATTTTGGCTGCTTTTATTATGGTTAACAACTATTTTCCTTTTTGCACTCTTCATTAAACATCCTGGTTAGTAACGTGGTCGATATAGGATATCTTCAGGATTCGACGATAAAGCTATATTTCAATAGCCTCAATTTTTTTGCAGGTAGCGTCTGTAAGAGTCCACGACTCAACTTAGTACAACAGTATAGGAAAGATATATCATTGTAGTAACCTGATTTTTATGAGTCCTAATAAATCTTTTTTTGAAATAATTGATATGAGGTTGAATGCTCAAATAAATGAACTTTGAAAATTAAGGCAATTATATCGAGCACAAGTTTAATTAAATCTTGCCCAAGTACTTTCGTTTAATATAGAATCTTCAGGGGCATTTCGTCAAATATGGGCTATCCAGCAAGCGTAGAATGTGATAAACATGGATGTTTTACTCTTTCTATTGGTGAACCATTCACAGTATTCATACTGATTCTTTCAATTTGCTGTTCCTTCTTAGAGATCGTCATACATTTTGTTTTTTTAATGTTCAGAGAAAGATCATATATCTGATTCACATCTGTGATTCTATTCATTAACTCCTGTAGGACTTTGTTACTGTTAGCGAATACCACCGTTCAACATACTCTACTGCTTTTTGAAAGATTTACTTAGAGTATATGTTAAACAGTAAGGGTAATAGTATACATCCCTGTCGGACTCCACGTTTGATTTTAATGTCATCGGATTCTCCAGCCTTTGTTCGGATAGGCGATGCTTGATTAGAGTAAATCTTTATCCTTTACTTATTCTTATGTAATTTTTAGATACACAGGTGTTTATTCCAATATTTTTTAATATCTCCATCAGCTTTTCGTGTTTTACTGTATCGACGCTTAATGTAATTAATTACGCATTTATAAATATTTCAATTTACATCTCTACATCGTTGAAATAGCACTTGTATGTTAAAGAGAGCCTCTCTCGTATCCACTGAGTTCCGAAAACCAAATTGTATACGAGTGAATGGTTCTTCGCATGGTCTATATATCCTTTGATGTATGATTTTTAGAAATAACTTTAAAATGTGGCTTATTAAGTTGATGTTCCGAAAATCATTGCAGGATACGGATGATTTTGTTTTCTTTGGTAAAGCAATAAACGCCTTTGGCCATGCTCTTGATATTACTCTGTTTAAATATATTTCATTGAATATTTTTGTTAGTCTTTGAATACCGTCGGTGGTACCTTCCAAAACGTCAGCCTAAAAATAAATATGAGAAAAACTAAGCCAAATTTTAAAACTTGACAAAGAGAACCAAAGTACGGAAATCACTAGAAGAGCAAGACTGGTATGGGCAGGATTTGGAAAACTTAGTTGGATACTTAAAACTGCAAAATATATCAATACAAATAGTTAGTAATAGCGAAAATTTTAGCTGATGCATTATTATTATTATTATGTAAGTAAAGTTAAATATTTGGTATCTATTGAACAAATATATGGGCTAGATAGATAGGATAGATATCTCAAAAGAAACTATAGTTTATCAAGAATAAACTTAAATGATGAAAGTCACATAAAAAATATTAAAGTATTAATACATATATTTTAAATATGTTTTATATGCAAATATATGTTTTAAATATTTTAAAACTTGACTATAAATGGCATATTAGTAACTAGAGTTAAATAAGTTAATTCCATATTTATGTTGTATATACGACGAATGTATTGATTGTAAAGTTTATATTATTCTGAAGCTACTTTCTTGTGATATCTTAATGCAATTTACTATTTTTGTTGGAAATAAGCCACAATTTTATTTTAAAATTAAATATAGGATTGGAAGGTTTGATTTCCGAAGTGGAAATCGTTTGAAATCGGAATTTTGTTGGGAGTAAGCCACAAATTTACTTTAAAATTAAATTTATTTGACATCCTCGCGTGTAATATGTCCGTGATATTCCAATTTTCCTGTTTTAACTGTATTTAAAATGTCTACTTCTTTATTCATCCTTCTCAGAACCTCTTTGTTTGTGAGGTGCTCTGTCCACGATACTTTGCAGAATTCTTCTATACACCCACCGCTCCAATGATTCCAGTTTTTTCATTGATGTCGCATTTAAGGTCCAAGATTCCATTCCATAAAATAAAGTCGAAAAAACATAGCCCCTCGCCAACCTAACTCTTAGTTCTAATTTTAAATCCCTTGTACATAGCACTCTTCTCATTTTGTTGAAATGTTCTCTAGCCTTTCCTATTATGATTTTGATCTCCTGAATGTAATCTTTTGTGGAGTTAATCATTGTTCCCAGATATGCATATTTGTCCACTTGTTCGACGTTGGTTCCGTTTTCGTTATTTCTTTAAGTTTTCGATACTCTCATAAATTTCGTCTTCTTGACATTCATTGTTAGACCATACTCTTTTCCATACTCCGCTATTCTGGTCATCAGTCTCTGAAGATCTTCAATATTTTCGGCTAAGATCACAGTGTCGTCCGCATATATAATGTTGTTAATGGGAACTTAATTTACTTTATTCTAGCTGTTTCACCCTCAAGAACGTTTTTCAGGATATCTTCGGAGTAGGCACTCGACATCTAATTTCAATTTCCTCTGACAGTTGTTCGTTAACACGTACTTTTGCTCGCTGTTTATAGTATAAATTTGATATGATCGTTGAGGTCGTTGTAATCGATCTTTTTTGATTTCAGAACATTCATTAATTGTTTATGTCGTACTTTATCAAATGCTTTATTATAGTCAATAAAACACGCGTATATATCTTGATTGACGTCCAGGTATCTTTGTATCAGTATATTAAGCGTAAAAAGAGCTTCACGCGTTAACAGGCCTATGCGAAAACCAAATTGTGTATCATTAACGTCTATGTCCAGTTTGTGATATATTCGGTTCTGGATGACTTTTAATAATGATGACTTTTAGTAATAACTATAGCACATGAGACATCAAGCTAATGGTGCTCAAATATGGTGCGGACAAATAAAAATCGACGTTAACCACTCTTTGGGTAATACGCCTGAACTATAAACATGGTTCAAGAGTATCACTAAAACATCAATGTGCTTCTCATCTATAATTTTTAAGATTTCTATAGGAAGCATGTCAAATCCAGGGCTTTTCCCACTGGTCATTGTTTTTAATGCGTGTAATATTTCTTCTTTTGTAATATATGGACTTATTTCTTCTATCGTAAGTTCTATGTGCTCCAGATCTCCTCTTGCATCATCAAACAATTCGTCGATATATTCTGCCCATCTTTGTACTTTCTCGTCCGTATTGTTATAGTAGTCTCGTGTCTATCCAGAATTGCACGACTGGGATTTTGTTTTCTTAGTTCTGCCAGTTCTTTAACTTTCTTGTGTAGATTAAACAGATCATATTTATTTTGAAGGTCTTCGATCTCTTTGGATATCTCTTCAAAGTATTTTTCTTTTTCCTGCTTTGTCATGTTCCTGATCTGGTGGTTTATCTCTCTGTATTTATTGTTGTCTTTGTTTTTAAATTGTCTCCGTTGTTCCATCATATTGAATATCTCGTCATTCATCTATTCTTCTTTTCTTCTAGCAGAAATCTTTAGTATTTGTTTACAGGATTCCAGTAGACAATGTTTTATTCGATCCCAGTACTCCTCAATATCATTGGTGTTTGTGTTCAATTTGCTACAGTTCACATGCAGTTCATGTTGGAGGCATTCTTTTACTTTAGTTCCTTTAAGTTTTCTTATATCTATTGTAGGGATTCTTTGATGTCTTTTAATATTTTTAAGGGTAAGTGTAATCTTGACAATAAGTGGATTGTGATCTGAGGTCACGTCTGATCCAGGATATGCTTTCGCGGCTTTTTTAACAGCATGACGGTATCTTTCATTAATCATAATGTAGTCTATCTTTTTCCTGACTACTTTCTTCGATGTATCTGCTGACAATTGGCATGTATACAGTCGTCTGTTTGGTAACTTGACAAATGTGTTTGTAATAATCAAGTTCTGCTCTTCACAGAATTGTAACAGACGGTCTCCTCTCTCGTTTCGATTTCCGAGACCATATTTTCTTATACACTTTCCGCTTTGTCCTTTTCCAATCTTTGCATTGAGATCACCTAGGACTATCGTAATTTCTCTTGTTTTCGTTATTCTAAGTGCCTCTTCGATACCTCGGTAAAATAATTATACTTCTTCTTCGTCGGCATTTGCCGTAGGAGCATAAACTTGTATTAAATTCTGTTTGGCATGAGATGTCACCAACTTCAGTACCATTACCCTTTCTAAGATAGGAAAATAGCATTCCACCGCTTTATCAAATTTTTTATTAACTATTACTGCCACGCCGTGTCTGTGTTGATTATTCTCGCTGCCGAAATAATATATTGTGGCTTCGTCTCTTAAAAAACAACCTAAGTTGGGGCATCTGGCTTCACTGATAACCAGTATATCGATATTCAACCTATTCATTTCTTGAATAACATTGTGCATTTTACCAGACTGAAACATTCGCTGAACATTCCAGGTTCCTATTCTAGTGTTGATACAGGAAATAGATATTTTATATTGATTGTCATTTTTCTTCTGTTTTAGCAAAAGAAAATTGTACCTTGTGAAGAGGATGCCGCGTGCGCCTTGATTGATAGACCTTGTACAAAACTTGCAGACGTAAGTCAATACATTACCATTATTCTTTGATAATTATCATTCCATATAAAAATCACCTACAATCCAAAAACATTTATGAAGTTCATATATAGATTATTACCTCGTCTTTTGCCAAACGATTTGTAATTTGAAGTACATTTTATAATAATGAACTTTGTAGATATCTGAAACACATACATTGTTTTAGTTAGGTGCGATATTTACGTATTTACGTAAAACGAATTTTCAGTAGAAATTATTATTTACATATTTAGAAGCTAAATGTAAATAAATGACAAAAAACTAACTTACCTTGGTCTTAGTAAATTCAACGACTCACGCAGTCAATATTTTATTTATCTTTATTATTTACTGCTCCAAAAGGAAGACAACTTTATATGTGTATAATCTTAAACATATAGATGGGAAATTTACCTAATAATCTACCGATAGAAATAAAATACCAGATCTGGTAGATTTTTTATTGTTTATCATCATCATAGGTGCTACAGCCCTATAAAAGAGCCTCGACCATCCCAAGTCTATAATGCCAGTCAGGATTCTTCTAGGAGGGTTGTTCTGCTGTGATCTTGTCAGATGTCCTGCCCATCTTAGTCTTCCTATTTTTATAAGAGACACTACGTCTTTACCACCAAATATATATTTATATCTGTGATATATCTCGTAGTTGTACCTCGTTCTCCAAACACCATTTTCACAGATGCCACCGAATATTCTTCTCAGGATCCTTCGTTCAAATATAAGCAGAAGGTTTTCGTCTGCTTTGGAGATGGTCCATGTCTCCGATCTATATGCCAACACTGGTTGTGTAAGGGTTTTATATATGGTTATTTTTGTTTTTTGAAGTTTCTGCTTCTCCTATGTCTACTTTGTTAAAATAGCATTTGTTTGCTAGGATTATTCTTTGCTTGAAATCTTCCGTCATGACGTTCTTCTTAGTGATCAGGTAGCCTAAGTATGTGAATTTGTTCACCACTTCAAAGGTATAGTTATCAACAGTGAATTGGTGGCCGATGTTTCTGGCTCTATTGTTGGATGTTGATGCCATTATCTTAGTTTTCTCCTTAGATTTTCTCTTAGATTTTTTATTGTTACCACGGGTTTATCAAACAACAACTTGAGGAGTTCTTCTTGTTATTATTTATCTTAAAACCATTTTTCTGTTTTAATAGTAAGAAACCTTTACAGAACACCACCTGCTACATTGACTAATAAATCTGCAAACTGGAAACAATTCAGAGAATTACTAAGTAATACATTAAAATTAAATATCTCTCTATCTTGAATTAGAATTAAATTTCAATCTAAGAAAATAAACGGCCCTACTCATAAACTACCCAATTAATACAAACAAAAAATGATTGAGAAAGGAATATTAAGACGTAGATGGCAGCTGATGACAGATGATGACAGATGGTGACAAGACACGGCTAATCTGAATATAGCTACAGCGCAGTTCAAAGCGTTATCAAATAACCACAAAAACAATGGTAAACATTCATATCTTAGACATCTTTCGCCAACACAAGCTTCTGTGTATTCACTTTGGAAAGCAACCGGGAGATATAAAGAATAGAATTCAATTCTCCAATTGTACAACCGTACAATTCGCACTGATGCTGGTGACTAGGCAAAAAGCAATAAAGACAGGCAAAATTTGCGCTAAACATCTTAAAACAGTTTTCTAGGCTTTTCCTCAAGATGAACGTATAATTATGATAATGGGATCCAAATGTATCTAGAATCTCTGTATCAACTTGAAACTCCTCTAAAAAAAATATATTAAACGAAGTCAAATTTATACTAAATTAAAACCCAAAAAGTCCCCAGGCTATGACCTTATTATTGTAAGAATCTTAGAGAAATTACCAAGCAAAGCCCTACTGCGGCTTACATAACTGTATAACGCCGTATTAACAACGGTACTTTTCCTCTAGTTTGGAAAATTAGTCCAAACAATATTAATTTTAAAGCATGGAGAGTTCTTGGAGGAAAGTCCTACGGACCTATAAGCTTTCTCCCTATTATATATAAAATACTGGAAAAACTGTTGTTATTTCAGAATAGAGCCAATTTTAATTGACAAATAAATAATACCTCATCACCAGTTTGTATTTAGGTTACAGCATGTTACCACTGAACAAATCCACTTCGAAAATCGTTTTCAAAATACAAAACAATAATAAATTAAACAAATTTTGTTTTTTGTTACTTACACATTCAGCTTTGGATGAGAATACATAATGTATTGTCGACTAAATATCACAATCACATACGATACTACTATCTCCGGAAGTTATCTTTACCTACGGTAGTCTCAGTTCACGGTCTGTTTCCGGATTTTCCATGATTCATTATGACCTTTTTTTAGTGATGTTGTCCAGTGACAATCTTACGGTTTTTTTGTCCTTAAAAGTAAAAAAATAGTTTAAAATGACCTATTTACAATGAGTAATGTAATTGTTAATATACCGGCAAGTGCTTATCTTTAAAGGAACTGAATTTTTTTTAGTTGCAATTAAGTTGTTTATAGATGAGAATTGCTTCAATTTTGAGTTTTGTTGAAATTTCGTTCTGTTGAGGAGGTCATTATAATTGTAGTATTTTCTTATTATTTTTTCAGTCTGTTTTTATTATTAACTGTCTATCTGTGTATAAAGAAAATGTTTACACATGGGAAAAATTACAGTTTTTTGTCCATGGGAGTAAGAGAACTCAAGTAGTAGTAGAGAAAATGTAAAAGTCGACAATTATCTAAGTAATATAAAAAACAACGATACTGAAACTGGAACTATCTGAGAAAATAATTTACGACTTCCAAAGAAAAGGATTGTTTTGAATTAACAATCCAAGAAAATTTGTATAAACGTTTACAAAATTTGCAAAATAATCTTAAAAATAGTTATAAAGGTAGTATTATAAGAAAAGCGACCTTTCTAACAGGAACTCCGTATTCTACTATGCGTGACACTGTAAAGAGTGTTGTTAAAGGGAGAAAAATAAGATCAGATGCAAAATATTAACATCTTCATATGTTTGAAGGCTGTATGACTGGTAAATGTTTAAGGAATTTGGTTTACGAGGAGTACTCAAAAAATTTAATAACAAAAATAATATTATATTCAACAAGTTTGTTTCGATGGGAAGAACCTGCCATAAAATCACTTTACGCAGACGACTGAAAAACTTGGATTTAAATACAAAATCGTTAATAAACGAGTGGCTATTATGGAAAGTAAGAGGATGATACATTGGCGTTTACATTATTTAGAAAAAAATTCTATAACCAAACGCGAGAACAAAGGCGAAAAATTCATAACTTAGACGAGACATGGAATCACAGGCATGATACCGCTAGCAACAGTTGGACTGATGGTTCGCTTAGGTGCCAGCAGAGAGGCGTACCTTCGAATAAAGGTTCTCGAATGGTTATTGTTAACTGTGGATCTTCAAATGGTTGTAGTGAAGAATATCATCAGAATATGAATTCTAATATATTCGAAGAGTGGTTTAAGAATATATTACTTCCTAATATAACACTTAGCAGTGTGATAATTGTGAACAATGCCAGTTATCACTCAAGACTTCCAAAAAAAATCGAAGAGTTCATCTTCAAAACAAGAACTACAAGATCTCCTCCCAGGTAATGATTTGTATTTTGAAGACAACTAGTGCTTCGTACTAAAACTTATGACAAACAATATTTATTAAACACGATTTCAATAGAACATGGCCCTATACTGTTTTGAGGTTACCACCTTATTTATACATTTTTAATCCCATAGAACTTATTTGGGGACAAGTAAAAAAAAAAGATTCGGAGGAAAAATATTTTCCAGAAAATTATCCAGAATTTAATTCGATATGAGCTATCAGAAATCACAAGCGCCGACTAGAAAAAATCAATAAACAATGTAGTTAATGTATAAAATGATTACAGAAGACTAGTACAATTAATCTTAAACAGTGGACATATTATTGTTAATGTTTTTTTAACAATATTATTTTCTTGAATGTAAAATATTTTTGTTTTTTTTTTCCAAAATCAGATTTCTCTGCTCTTTGAAATCGTGAAACAACCAATATCACAATACGTCCCTGGGCAGCGGCTACTCGAATTTCTTAAACATTTATATCGCCACTTTTTTCGAGGGTAGATAGAAATATGGATGCAATTATAATAGTAATCATTTCATCTGTTTATTATCCGTTCACAATTTGTTGATAGCACGAAATATGCCTTAAAGTCATCTAACGGTCGTTAAATTTGTATCATCATAGGCGTTCCTGAGGTGTTTATTCATTAAAATTAATATTAATATTAATAACGTTTTAATACTAATATATTTAGCAAAAAACAATTAAAACTTTCACGGCTAATGTTGGTTATTATTATTATATTATGTTAATAAAAATAATAATTTAACCATCAATACTAATCTTCGCGTTTAATTACTTTACTAGAAAACCTGGTATTCATATCCGAAAGTACTATTCGTTGCAAGATAATTAGGATGGAATTCCCCAGATTTTTAATAATATAATGGGTATAGATGCCGGCTTTGGCCACGTGCCTCGTCTGTTTAGTTTATATTCGAAACTTAACTTGAAAGGGTGAAGTTATTACGCACGAAAACAATTTTTTTGTTTAGTACGTTTTTGATCGCATGTAATTTACGGCTCGTCGGTGTTTCCGCGTCTACGGCAGTAATTAACGTCTCGAATATTTCTTTTGCAAATTATATGTAGTGCGTGAGTGATTTTTATTCCATATACCTACGAACATATACGTACCTTTCGCTCGTGCTCGTTTTGTTGGATTGTTTGTGATGGCTTCATCATCAACATCATCAAGTTTTACACCGGTACTGTTGCGTATAGTCAGTAAATCTGTCTATTCGCCAAGAGAGAAGACTATTGTCCTGAATGTTCCCGATGCTCTGGTTTCTCAGAATACCACAAACACTGTTCGCAACATAGTCGAAAGTTGTGCCAACATGACTGGCTTAGGGGAGTCAACTATATATAGGTTCCTATCAGAAAGAAAAAAAACACGGTATAGCTAACCCAAACACAAACGAACATTTAAAGAGAGGGAAAAAGCCTATTGAAATTGATGAATTTGCCAAAAATGGTATTCGAAGGAAAATTCATGGATTTTTTTTTTAAAGAAATACCAAACCTAAATAAAATTTTACAAGAAGTTAGAGACGATCTGAATTTGCCTCGTATCGGACGAACTAAATTGTGGCAAGTTTTAAAAGAATTAAATTTCCGGTGGGAGAAATCAGACCGAAAATCACTTTTGATTTGATTGACCGGGAGGAGATAATATGTTGGAGAAGAAATTATCTAAGATCCATACGAAAATTCCGGGTTGAAGGAAGGCCAATCTTCTACCAGGATGAAACGTGGGTAAACTCAGGTCATACTTTAAAAAAATTTGGTCAGATAAAAATATATTAAGCTCCAGGCAAGCCTTTATGGACTACTGGTATCTGCCCATCTTCTGGTAAAGGCAGTAGATTAATAATTTCTCACATTGTCAATGAAAAATGATTTGTTAAGCATGGTTTGTTGGAATTTCAGTCGAAAAGCATAAAAGACTATCACGAGGAGATGACAGCTGATGTCTTCGAAGAGTATTTGGTGCAGATGATTGAACACATACCACCAAATTCAATTCTAGTATTAGATAATGCACCTTTACATTCACGACTAGTAGAAATACTTCCAACGACTGCGTGGAAGAAACAGGATATTCTTGACTGGCTGCGGAATAAGTATCTGCCTTACGAAGATAGAATGGTAAAAGCAGAACTTTTAAAAATTGCCCGGCAACACAAATCTAAGTTCAAGAAATACGTAGTTGACAAAATGGCGGAAAGCTGAAACATCACAGTTTTTAGACTTCCACCCTACCACTGCGAAATAAATCCAATTGAACTCATTTGGGCACAAATGCAAAGTTATGTGGCTAAAAAAAATACGTCATATAAAATACAAGCTGTACGTGAATGGTTATACGAGTGATTACAACACATTACAGAACAAAACTGGAAAGATGCAGTAAGACATGTAATAGAAGAAGACCAAATAATGTGGGATCTTAATAACATAATTGATGCAACCGTAGAGACACAACCGCTAATTATTAACCCTCAAGACTACTCAGATTCCGAAGTTGATCCTATTTATTTTGAATTTGAATAGTTTTCTAATCGTAATTCTATAAGGTAAGAATAGTAGTTGTAATCGTAAGGTATTAAAGGGAAAAGGCGCAAAATGTCACCTGTCAAATTGTTCAATGTGTTTTAAATGTATCCATTTTTTTTCAAATCCTGAGAAAACTAAAAAGCATTTTTGAAAAATTTAAAGGCAGAATAAATAAAAAGTTTCTTTTGCATGCAATATTGTCAATTAAAAATTATACTATATTTTCTCTTTTATTTTCACCTTGTTACATAACATATATTAAAATAAATATCGTAGAAGTTTTCAGTAATAATGTAATCTTTCATTCTGCGTTTAAATTTTTCAAAAATATTTATTAGTTTTCTCCGGATTCGAAAATAATAGATACATTTAAAACACATTGAAAATTTTGCCAGGCGACATTTTGCGCCTTTCCCCTTAATTAAATAAATGTATCTTTTACAGATGGCAAGAAACTTTTTATTTTCGAATAAAATAAAGAAGTTTTATTAAAACAAAAATACAATTTAAAAAATATATTTATTTAGTTCAAATCAATGTTTCAATCATATACTCTACGTCACTGTTCGGCCAAAAAACCTTTATAATCGGATTAAAAGGTTGACCGCTCTATTGTATTACTGCAGATACAAGGTGGGTTAGTCGAAAATATCTTAAACCGTCAGTTTCAGGTTGGTTTTTACTATTATATCGTATTACCTATCCTCTCTGTATTTCAGTTCTCTAATTAGGATTAAACTTGTAGTGAGCTATCAACAAATTGTGAACCGAGTATAACATTCCATCAAACATTTTATTTTGTTTATCCTTGTTCATGTGTTGATATGACTGACAGATATGAATAGCATATAGTCTTTATGTATTTTATTATTTTTTTTTTTTCTAGAAAATCGAAACCGAAAATTTTGCTGCTAAAACAGATACAGACAAAGGAAGAGACACAGAAATTGCAAAATTGATGGACCAACAAGATATACCGAGAGAGGAACAAGTTAAAGGTGGTTTTTTGAGTTTGGTAGGTGCGAGTTTAACTTATTGGTTTTAACCTCCTTTAATATATACTTCATATAACTGTTTTTACCAAAAAACTGTAGTTACTGTTTGTTTTTCTTATACTTTTTCTAGAAATTTCGTAGGAACTATGTACAATTTTATATCCAAATTCTGCGAAAGTTGTATTTGTAGAAATTTACAAATTAAAAGCGAATCTTACCATTCTATGACTTTAGTTAAATAGCAAGATGAAACGTTTTTAGTAAGGCGGCATACATACAGACAATAATTTTAAGCATCGAAAAGATTATAATACCCATCTACTCCAGTTACTGAGGCTTAAAATATGGTAATACCTCCGAATTTTTTATAACTGCATCGATTTATTTGAAAATTTTAAATTAAGCTTATCTTACCCTCCACTTCAAAAGTTAGATACGCTCTAGGTGCGCTTTTTGTTTTTAAGGGGTGAAAACTACCCCTTCTTGAAGAAACTGGGAAAAACACGGATTTAATTATTTTATGCACTTAAATCTTATTTATTTGCATAAGGTAAATATTGTAATGTGTTCTCTAATATGAAAATTAATTATTCACAATTTTCAACCCTTAAAACCCTTTAAAAACCCTTAAAAGCTAATACTTTTATAAAAATAATATGAAAAAAAAGTCGTAACAGCTTGAGACATTTCAATTATGTATTTAAATACAAATTAAAATAAATACCCTAGCTATACAATAATATTTTATTTATTGGAAATTTACAACCCCTACAACCACTCTTATGACAAAAATGAATTAAAAATTAATTAAAAAATATTTTTATCAGTTTGAAACATTTCTTAAGTGCATTTTATTTAACAAAAATTAATTTTTTGCATATAAAATAACTTTTTATTATAATTTCAACATTTCAACCCTCACAACCAACCCCTTTTTTAAAAATTAATTTAATATATTTTTATTGGTCTGAAACATTTCTTGAGTGCATTTTATTAAACAAAAAATAATTTCTTGCTTATAAAATAACATTTTATGATAATTTCAACATTTCAACCCTCACAACCACCCCCTTTGTCATAAATGAATTAAAAAATATTTTTAACGATTTGAAACATTTTTAGAGTGCATTGTTTGTAGACAAAAATTAATTTTTTACTTATAAAATGAGCCTACTTTTTTCAACCATTACAAGCACCCCTTTTGATGAAAATAAAATCCTTAAATCCTTAACTAAGACATGGACATAAATAGAAAAAATTTAGTTTATATTATATTACAATTTTTTTATTTTCCAAAATATTAAAAATAAATAATATTTATATAAAACTTGTTATATATATATATATATATATATATATATATATATATATATATATATATATATATCAAATTATTCTCGACCGTACTGTGTTAAATATTATTTGTAGTCTCAGCAATTGGTCTGTGTGAAATAAAACTCTATTTGTTATTTCTCAATATTTCGTCACGATTTTGTGACTTCTTCAGGAGAAAACTGTAAATTTATTATAATTATTATATGTAAACAAAATGAATATTTCAATACTTACAACTTAAGATTAAAAATTTTAAATTTTGATAACATATCCAATTAGATAAATGACATTTTTTTTGATTTTAATTTATTTGGGAGTTATGGTAACCACAATATTTTATAGAGTGAATTCCCATTGTACAATTTTTAGCGAATAAGTTTTATATATAATATAATAAGTTTTAATAAACAATTACATATTGTGACAGTATTATCCATATAATAAGGTGCAAAATTTAAAAAGGTGCATGTTATCAAAATTTAAAATTTTTAATCTTAAGTTGTAAGTATTGAAATATTCATTTTGTTTACATATAATAATTATAATAAATTTACAGTTTTCTCCTGAAGAAGTCACAAAATCGTGACGAAATATTGAGAAATAACAAATAGAGTTTTATTTCACACAGACCAATTGCTGAGACTACAAATAATAATAATATATATATATATATATATATATATATAATATATATATATATATATATATGAAACTTAGAGCTAAGATTAATATTACTCTTAAAATTAATATCAAACTCACCAGTCTTCCGGGTTGAACCGCGTCGATATCCATTTTGCCGAGCTTTCGGCATCCTCTCTGATGCCTTCCTCAGGGCTTCCGGGGTCTCAGTCTCCCGAGCCCCCAGACACTACTGCACTGTTCACTAATCACTGCACTGTCACTACTCAGTGCAGTGATTAGTCAAGCGCTACACAAGGATAAACACTTTAAAATGTTTAAAATAGGCGAAGCTTTAAAATAAAAAGAAATCATTTCTGTCTCCAGTAGTGTAGTGTGATGTACAATTTTATGTTTATAACATTTTATTCTTGTTGGATAGGCCACAATTGACGAAATGTCCCTGAAGATGCTCTAGGGGGCGAAAGTACTTGGGCAAGAATAAATTAATTAAATTGTGCTCGATATCTGCCTTTTATTTGATCAAAGTTCATTTATTCGAGCATTCAACCTTATATAAATTCAATTCTTAATTTATTTTTTATACGCTGCATTTCTAAAAATATAACAAAACCGTGTCCAGGTTAGTGTGGAAATGCCGAGAAATACTCGACACACTAGCGGTCTCACACTGGTATGGGTTTTATACCACTGGTAATACACGTCAATGAAAGAGTTGATGCACTTATCAAAGGGGCATCGTCCGCAACCGAAAACAAAGCCTAGATTCGAAGACAAAAGAAGGAAAGCATACCCGTTCAAACACACGGGAAAATTTATATTTGACATATGATAATAGGGTTGTAGTACTATCAAAAACAAGCAAGAATCATCTCAGAGTCATAGCAGACTTTCTTATTGGACATGCGCTAGTATAGATACCTGCATACAATGAGGCTGTTTTATCAAGCCTTTAGCTGCATACTCTACAGTCGAGAAGTTGAAAAAGTCAACCGTATCTTGCATGACTGGGGACATTAAATCACAGGCGGGAAAATAAAATCCCGTAATAGAGTTTCCGCTAATATATTCTGCAGCCGGTTATCCTAACGAAGGTTTAGTTTGCTTCCCAAGCATTTTATCTTATGAGACGCTATCATTTTTGTTATATTGGAGGTATCTTCATTATTATGGCCTGAAAAGTTTTTCGGACATGTGAAGTCTGAATGCTGTTTCTTTAGCACCATGTCCTGTATAATATATAACACACCAATGCAAACAAAGTGCAGTATTACCATATCTCCGCTTACATTTTTCTATGCAGGTCGAAATCCTTATTGTAAGGACTGAACAATAAGCCAATTTACTGTGGCCTGCATTGCATCACTAGGAGACATATATTTTACTTTATCTCTTTCTTCAGTCCTGGCCTCCCAGAGGGAGTGTAGTGATAATATATATTATCCGTTTTCAAAGATCTCTATCTCTAGTCATTTCTTTTAACTTATGCATAGGTCTTCCTATACATATTCCTGAAATTTGGTTGACACATCTTATTAATATTTCTTAAGGCCATCTACCTTTCCTTGGATACTAAGTTTTTCCATGTTGACTGTGTCTGCTCTCATAACATGTACAAAGTATTTTAATTGTTGTAGATGAACTTTGCTGAAGAGTCGTTTGCTGACTATTGATTCATTTAAAATTGAATTATTCATCCTGTGGTCGGTCCACGGAATTTGTAACATTCTTCTTTAACAGAATATTTCAGTGGCGTCTATCTATCTTCTTTTTACTTATCGTAGGGTCCAAAATTCACTTCCGTATGTCAGTATTGGGAATATTAAGCAGTTGATCAACCCGATACCGCATACCTATATAGATACTGGTCAAAAGTAAATGTTATGCGATAATTGATTTAATTGGTTAGAATATAGAGGTGGTTTTACTTGCAGTTGTGTTTGATCGTAGACATGGCTCGCAGTTTGTTTTATTCTAGCTAAAAGCATTTTTAAAGTCACAATGCTTTGATTTATTGCATTAATAGTTAGTAAACACTCGTTTCATACGATATTACAGTTTAGTTCCGATCACTTAAAATATTCATTAATAGATAATAAAATTTTAATATGTATTCTCGATAACGGTAATTATTGTTTAGCAATAAAAAAAATATTAAATACTTTCGCTTTCCATCGAGGTTCCAATAGGACTATATTATTTTTGCTTATTTAATAAAACGAATATCCATTTTAGGAAGTTGAGGTAACCAAGGAGGCCACTTCAGAAGTTGAGAAATATAATTTCGAATTTGAAAAACCAAAAACAGCTCTTATTACCACAGTAATTCAAGACGGAATTCTTGGAGTTAAAACGGAAGGGCCAACGGGAACCATAAAAAGTACTTTAAAGTATCTACCAGGTGGCATTGTTGAAGTAAGTTTGGAATATTTTAAGGTTTTGATTGTTCTTCTTCTTAGAGTGCCATCTGTCTACGACTGTCAGCAATCATAATAGCTATTTTATTTTTGAACTTTCTGCTTCAAATAAATCAATCGATCTGCATTGATACCACTCACGTAGATTCTTCAACCAAGAATTCTGCCTTCGGCCAACAGATCTTCTTCCTTGAATCTTTCCCTGTATTATGAGTCTCAAAATTTCATATTTTGGTCCACTCATTACCTGGCCTAGGTATTCGAGTTTTTTTTGTTTGCATAGTGGTGATTAGTTCTGTTTCTTACGATCCCAGAACTTCTTTATTTGTAATTCTATCAGTTCGTGATATTTTTAAGACTCTGCGGTATAACCAGAGTTCGAAAACCTCCATTCTTTTTACATGGATTCTTTTAATGTTCAAGTCTTAGCTCCATATAATAATATTGAAAATATAGTTATATAACATCAAATGCTACGAAATTTGATTTTCAAATTAAGATTTCTGCACGTTAGCAGTGGCTTTATTTATATAAATGTTGATATGACAATCTCTATTCGCCTGTTTATTTCTACAGTATGATCATTGGTTTCATTGATCAAAGTTCAGAAGTACTGACATTTTTCTACTTGTTTTATCACGATACCATTTATTGTCAATATGTGGTGTATATTTTGTGGTAGTTTTGTAATAAACCTATATTTTGTTTTTTAAGCGTTTATAGTAATTCTCGTCTCAGCATATTATTGAGCATGTTTCTGAAGATTTCTTTAGAATATAAGTTAACAACAGTGACGATAAAACGTATCCCTGTCTAATTTATCTTCAGATCTTAATTTCTTCTGAACTGTTCTCCATCAATTTTAACTAAGACTCTTTGATTCCAATATAATGTTTGGATTATCCTTATGATTTTACTGTCAATGTGCTTATTCATAAGTATTGATATTAGTTTTTCATATCTTACCCTTTCGAAAGCTTTTTCGCAGTCAACAAAGCACAAGTGTGGGTTAACGTTTACGTCACGACATCGCTAAATCAGTAAGTTAATGGCAAAAAGTTCTTCTCGAGTACCCATTCCGTTTTCGAACCCGAACTGCGTCTCACTTATCTCCTCCCTAACTTTTCATTTTCTATAATGTATTACTTTGGGCAGTACTTTTAAAGTATGAATCATGAGGCTCCATGTTCGATAGTCAAAGTCTTTTGCTGATTGTTGTTCAGGATGGTTATAAACGCTGACTTCAGCCACTTTTGCGGTATTATTCCCGTATCGTACACCCTGTTCAACAAATCTGCCAATACTTTCAAGTTATCCGCTTCTACTAGTTTTAACAGTTCTAAAGTATTTTGCCTAATCCAGTCGCCTTATTGTCTTTAGAAATTTTGATAGCAATCAATCTATCGTGATCCTCTGTCTTTTTAAAGGATTTAATTCTTGTATCTCCTGCATTTCACCTCTTTCATCTATGAAAACGTCCCCAAGTTACTTCTCCCATCTTTTTAATTTCTTGAGTAAATCTATTTAGAGGTACTCCTTTTTTGTCTTTTATGTTTTTTGTTGACTTTTTTGACACATTCTGGCCACTTCTCTTATTTTTCAAATATATTTATATTTCTATTTATTATTATATATAAATACCTCGGAGGTAAAGGACACTATGTCCATTTTCTTACTTTTTCAGGAGAGCAATTTTAACATTTTTTAAATTTGTAATCAGTAAATACGCAAATGTTTCCTATATTTAACCAAGATTAATATATTATTATTGTGGTGTGTATAATCGTTTTTCCTTCCATGAAGTGTTACATACCTGAAATTTACCGTTCATTATATAATTTTTTTTAAATGTGTAGTTGGACATAGTGTTGTTTAACTCTAACAACTTTTTTTAATAATGTGACATTGCATGTTAAGGTCTCTACGAAATAAACAATATAAACACATTACACAGTCTATACTATTATTTTATTAGGGGTAAATATTATATTGTTATAATAATTAAATTAAGTAAAGTTAAATAAAGTAAAATTATAGACGACAAGTTTTAAAATTGTTAAAGAGGCTCAATATTCTCTTCATCTTCTTGTGGGTAATCGTTTGTGGCTACATCGCTATGTGTTAAATTTTGATTAAACGCATAACAAACTGACAGAACAAAAGGCAGTAGTGCAATGAAGTTATTATACTTTTGTTTCGTGATTGGTAATGGGTTTACTGAGACTTGATTTAATTGGGCTGTAAACGTTACTTGCTGTCTTCGATACCTCGTGAAATCCACTTCATACATATTTTGATTAATGAAATCGGTCTTATAAAAGAGCTTTCCAATGTGTTCTTGTTGGACTTGTAGGAAAACACATGTTGACGGTAGAACAGGGTCTTCATTAACATTCTTTTTTCTACTTACAAAGGTGACAATTTTTTATCGAACAGCGTTTTGAAGTTTTTAAATTCTGAAAGTTCCATATTGTGCACTGAGTATTTACCTGATATTTACCTAACTAGCTGTTGCCAGTCCCATGGTGTTAAAATGGAAAAATTGGACAGTTTCTTTATTTTTTTTCGATTAAAGCATATACACTGTCTGCTTCCATATGTGTGTGTCCTTCCAGTAAAAACTTTTGACTGATCGTCTTTATTTGAGGGTATGTACGCATTATCCAAAAACAGAACATTATAATACTTATATTTTTATTTTGTCCATAGCAATGATCGGTCCAAAGAGTGATGTCCTCTACTTGACTACCTGGAATTGTATTGTCAACCCATTTCAAAATTCACGAGGCAATTTCATTTGCACCTCGGGCCACTTTCGATTCGTCCTATATCATATATTGTACAGAAGAATCACTGGCATCATATAATGTAAAATTTAATGTCCACAGCTTCCTTTTGTAGAAATTAATACAATTGTTTGTTAGTGGTGAAGGCAAACATTTTTGCAAATCACCAGATAGTACTTTGTGTTTTGGTGACTATTTAGCCATTAAAAAGTCCAATTGTTGTAAGTTATATCGAGTTTTAAATTCAATTAGGTGAGCATCATGATCAGCCTGTACACTGGTTAGTTCATCTGCAGTAAGATTATTTTTCAATTGAACGGTGAATGTACTGCATGTATCGCAAGTGTATATTTCGGGTACTTTAAACGACAACTTGAAGTCATTATTAAAATATCTGCGTACAATCACTTTTTTGTTCTGAGCTTTGAATCTGTATGCCTTTCAATGCATTCATCAATTACAGTTGATACATCTTTTCTATCGTAAGTTCTGTGCCAAGATAATCTCTCTTACTCCTTTCTCTGGAATAATGAATTT